TCCCCCTCCTCTCTCTCTCTCGCCCCTCTCCTTCAGTTCTCTCCCTCTCTGGACCTCTCCCTCCCCTTGACTCCCTCCCTCCCTCCCTCCCTCCCTCCCCTCTTCCGCTTCCGTCTCGCCCGGCCGGCGCCATCAAATTTCGGAGACCGGTCAACGGACTCTTTCCTGTAGTTCTCCAACTCGAGATCTGAGTGGGTAGGGGTACTGATCGTACCGGTCATATAAATATCTAAAACACCGGTATGATTGAAGTACATTGGGGTCATCATGACCCTACCCCAATCTGTAATGTGAAGGAGGGTGACAGGCTGGCAGGAGAGGGTAGGGGTCAATTGTACCAGAAATCATGAGACTTGGAAGGGTGGGTGGCGGTTATGTGTTACAAAAGTGGGGTGGGTGGATGGCTGGGGTACGAAGAGACATCCATGCAGGTACGCCGCGGGAAAACTAGGAGGAGATGCAACAGAATGGAGAGGAACAGAAACAGAAACAGAAGCAGGAACAGAAGCAGGAACAGGAACAGGAACAGGAGCAGGAACAGGGACAGGGACAGAAGCAGGAACAGGAGCAGGAACAGGAACAGGGACAGAAGCAGGAACAGGAACATGAATTGGGAGATGATGTGGGAGGAGAGGAGAGGAGAGGAGAGGAGATGAGGGAGAGAAGTTAGCAGACATGATGAATAGTGGTACATTTGGTGAAAGTCCTCTTCTTGGTGCATGTTCAAGCTATGACATACTTGTAAAGATAGTAGAACATGTTCTGTGTACATAATTCGAGTCCATCACGGGAATACGTGTCCGTTTGACGCATGCTCACTTTCGCTTGGCTCGGAACTCACTGACATGTTTTAACAGGACATCACCATTCTTTTCCAGAAGGCCTTGCCGACTTTTGGCAGCTACGGCTACTCCAAGGTGAGTGGCGTCGCAACGCGACATGCTCGCTGGACATGATGTCGTTGTTCAGATGGCGAACAAGCTCGGACTTGGCACCAACTGCGTGTTCGGCGTTCACGACCGCCCGGTAACACTTAATGCCCCGCCTTTGCTGCCGTGCTGATGCTCCTGCAGGAGTTGGATCAGCCAGCAGCGATCCATTAGAGAGGCTCGCGAACGAGTCTGTTCGACTGGCAGCTGCGAAGGATTTCTGTGATGGTTGGTTGGGACTCCGAGCAATCGCACAGCTAGACATGTAAACTAAGTAACGTGGTCCACGAGGATCGCAGTTGTAGGAGTTGGAAGTCCGGGAGCTGACCTGCTTGCCTGATTGTGAACTTCTACTTTGCAGCTGGCAACTTGTGGTAAAGGATTGCAAGCAACAGCTCGATGGCTGGGTACAGTCTTATGCCTGACATTATCTTGAGCCAGCAAGATCTTTTCTAACATCGCTCAAAAACTCGGTAGAGCTGAGACGTGCAGACAAGCTGCACGACGCTCCCGTCATCCGAGAAGGACTTGGGTGGCTGTAGGAGAAACCGTATCGAGGGAAACATAACGTGCTGCATGGTCCAAGACCATTCAGCATTCCGAAGCTTTTCTGCCTGTGACTCCGCTGATGCTTCGCGATCGTTTCCCTCTCCCCCTGATCGGTTCTCCGCACCGCCCTCTTCTTCTGGCGCTCGAACTTCGTCTTCTCGCTCTGCTCTCTCAACATTCGATGCTCCTTGCGCGACATGTTTCCGAAGTTCCGGAGGTAGCCGCCCGCTCAGGCACCCAGGACGCACCATGTAGAAGTCCGCCAGCTCCTTGGCTATGGTGTGGAAACATTTCTCCTCGTTCGTCCAGTCAACCTGAATGAGAAGCCATTTCACCAACTCACCACCCTGCGGGTGACATCACCTGAATGGCAAGCCGAAGCAAGAACATTGGAAGGAGCTCCATCGGAGGGAGCAAGTTGTCGATCAATTCAGGCAGGCTACAAATTGTCTCATTCTGGTAGCAACGAGGTCAGCGTGAGTGAGAGTTAGTCGGGTTTCACATGAGATAGAAGATAGCAGACACTACAGACCTGGTCATCAAACTTCATAGCAAAGTAGACATCCAGCATCTCACCCTTTTGTCTCACAAGCAAATCTGTGACGTACTGCCAGTGCAAGGCAAAGAATTAGTCATACGCGTGATTCCTCCTGACGAACCTCAGAGATCTCATCCTTGTCACCATCTTCAGGGGTCCAGCCGCTCTGTGGAGTATCCAAGACCGCACGAACAAGATCTCTAATCGGTGCTGGAGTTGTTAACTCGATCCTGTCGAAGTCTCCAAACCTTTCAGCAAATCAGGATCCAACACTGCTGCTCCGATCCAATCAGACCTCTTCAGGCAGGATTGATAGACCGTCTCTCTAGAAACAGCAGGCAAGTCAATAAGGTAAAGCTTAGTACTATGTTGTATCAACGCCAGGGTCTCTGATGCACATCCAACAAACGCATGATCACGAAAAATCTCCGCGAGCGCCTCGTGTGTCTTGTTTTCAACCCGGTTGATGAGATTCTTGATCGACGTCAAGTTGCACTCAGCCCGCTGTCTCTGTCGTTTGCGTACCGTTGGTGGCAAGGATTCTGTCTCTGCATCCAACACCCGCCTATCTGACGGAACCAGTCCACCTGCTGGATCGCCGCGCTGCCTCTTGCTGAAAAAGGAGAAGATGATCCAAGGTCACCGAGCATAGCACACTGGAATTATTATCGACCTTGTGACTCTGGCTTGAGAAGTATCGGTGATGGGAGGGAGTCGCGTGACGAATCTTTCCATCTGACCAGCTTCGGTTGCTGCTGTTACACGTACTTGTTTACTCGGCGCCACATTATTTACAGAACGGTTCGCAGGCTGTCAAAGTCTCAGCTCTGCAAAGCACTGCCTGTGATGATCTGCACCTGCTCGTCGTCGGAATCGGCTTTAGATTTCTCAGGGGCACCAGGTAGCAGTGTTTGGATAGAAAATGTCCGTGATGCATTGGCACCTAAGAGACATTTTTCGATTTCATCCTGGGGAGAAGAAATATGAGGTAAGGGAACTGCAATGAAATATTTGTGAATACTTGGATGTATTGAACTACTTCTTCTTCATCGAGGAACCGTACTTCCTGCACAACATTTACTTTGATGCGGACAGGAACGGGAGCAAAAAAACCTGTTTTGTTGGATGCACGTTGACATCTAGTTGACTGGGGGGGAACTTGAGCGACATATACACAAATGGATGAGATCCTTTCGGCAGATACTGTTCCTCTGTCAACTGCACAATGCAAACAAAGTTCATATGGTGTAGGCATGCCTGCGAGTAGACGCTTTCAAGAACCCTTTTGATTGGGCCACTTTCCACCAATCTCCCATTAATAAAAAGGATAAAAATCTGTATCTAGTCATGTCTTGTAAATGATTGAAAGCCCATACCGTTCTTTTCACGCTGTAATTTGGATTACTCAATTGCATGTTCAGCTGGAAACCAGAAATAAGGCACTTGTGTCGGCAATCAGGGTAGAGTACTTTCACTTTCAACGACTCGCTTTCGGCTGAGGACTGAGGACAAGAACACAGTTAGAAGCAATGAGGCTCACATATTCAATCTTAGATGAGCACCTCAATGAGTTCGCGAGCAAGTGCAGCACCGTAGATGTTTCTAATGTTCTCCTTTGAAGAAGAATTAACTCTGGTTCTGACATCTCCTGAATTTTCTCCAGCCTGCTGCAGCTTTAATGCAACAGTGGATACAAACGTGTCTTGCCTTTTTGCAAGTGAATGCTACATGAGGGTATTCTATGGAATATCTTCCTACGACCTGAGCTCATATTTCAGTTCGTTCCCGATGAACCCGGCGTGCCGCAAACAAACAAGTTACCTCTACTATCTTATTGTATTCCTCTGTGGGATTTTTTAATGCCTGAGAAGGGGTCATTACAAGCAAATCATCACTTGAATGTTTCCATGCCTTTAGCCGGTTGGGTACATTGTAAAACAAATCCTCCACCGTGATGGTTGTTCCTTTTACACCAGCACAAGCCTTGGGTTCAGCCGATTCGCCATCCTGCATACTTTACTTTAAGCAGAGATGTCATAATCTCCAGCTCGGCTTACAACTGGCGGAATGAGTTTTGAGTCTTTGTAGTGAGCTTTGTACGCGCAGGCACTGTCGGCCGTCATAGTTGTTATGTTTAAGTGAGCTACATGACTAATGCTTGCAAGTGCTTCTCCTCTATGGAAGCAAGTCAGGTTCTACCCAAGGCAGATTACACGCTCTACCTGAATCCAAATGTGCTTATGGAAGTAAGATCCTCGTACTTAGACAACTTGCTCGTTGTGAATCGCTCTACTGCGATCTTCAAATCCTCCTTTTTGATTCCATGCCCATTGTCTGTTACTTGTAGTAGTTTTAGTCCACCAGACTTGACTTGAATCGAAATGGTGGTCGAGCCTGCATCGATGCTAATGACGAAATACCATGTTAATGGGAGTCGACTTGGTCTGATATTGAACGTGAACCTGTTTTCAAGCAACTCTTTGAGTGCGTTTGCTGGTCTATGAATGACCTGCGGGGAGGTTACACCTTCCCAAAAATCGTATCCAAGCATCCACCTCTCCAGCAGCTATTCGATTCACAGTCTCCTCATCAAGCCGCCTTGAATATCAAGTCAGACTCCAGAAACATCTTTCCTATACACAATCATGCTGATCGGAATCCACAAACTTACAAATGCACCATAGCCATGTAGAAAATCATAAGTTTTTCATGAAAAACAAGAGAAGATATGTCGTTTGATATCAATCCTTCATCATTCTCCTCTTGTTCGCACCCTTCCTCCCCAAGCCTCTCCTCCGCTCTCCCCGGCAACCTGATGCTTCCTTCTGCCATCGCCGCCTCCCGCCAAATTTCCACTTGCGAGAAGGGTATGAGGGAGATGAGTGGGAATAAGGATGGGTGTAGTTTCAGTTTTTGAAGTTCAGTAGTGCAGAGAGCAGGAGAGAGAGAGAGAGAGAGAGTAGTGCGAGACAGTCAGTCAGTCAGTCAGTCAGTCAGTCAGTCAGTCAGTCAGTCAGTCAGTCAGTCAGTCAGTCAGTCAGTCAGTCAGTCAGTCAGTCAGTCAGTCAGTCAGTCAGTCAGTCAGTCAGTCAGTCAGTCAGTCAGTCAGTCAGTCAGTCAGTCAGTCAGTCAGTCAGTCAGTCAGTCAGTCAGTCAGTCAGTCAGTCAGTCAGTCAGTCAGTCAGTCAGTCAGTCAGTCAGTCAGTCAGTCAGTCAGTCAGTCAGTCAGTCAGTCAGTCAGTCAGTCAGACAGACAGACATAAGGAGGGAGGGCTAGTGAAAAAGTAGGTGGGAACAAACAGTCTTCGAGAGTCATTGAACTATGCGGAGACAAAATGCTACCACTGCTTCGAGCGGCACCGTGAAATACCCGCCGACAGGATCAGGTATGGATTACAACACCTCTATCATGATCCTTGATTGAAAATGTCAGGAAAAGTTTCGCACAAGCCATCTACACTTGGGCCTCAGATACCAACGGTGTGCTCTCCACCCTCTGCTCGCATTCTCACATGCCTGCGGTTTCTAGGTTGCAAGCACGATCCGCGCTCAGCCATTGTCGCGACAAGTAGTCGGAGATCGAGGGCAGCCGCTAGTCGGAATTCAGCGGTAGCTGATTGCTCTTCTACCATCCTCGTGACTGATTTCGTGGACCAAGGGTGGGACCCATCAGACAATATGACAGCAGCAGGCCTCCGATAGGAAGCGACAAGAACTACAAGACTCCATTCAAGACGCCTGGGTTCACTGAGCAGAAGAAGAACGTCTGCGTCGATGTCGCGCACTGCAAAAACATGAAGGGCAGATTCGAGCATGCCTTTGACGTTCCTAGCGCCGCGGACAGCTGCCAACCAAGATCTGTCTACGGGTGCATTTCTGGCTCACAGTTCGGGAAGGTGGAACGGCCGAGCTCTGCCAGCAGGTACCTGTGCTGTGAGGTACGCCGAGGGGCTGAGTTACTGAGTGTGGATATCAGGATGCTGGGGTTCAGGAACGTTTGCAGGGAGTCCCCGTCGGAGAGACCGAGTTCAGCCAACATGCGCAAAGACGCGGCTTATCAGGCATTTCGATTCATTTAGATGGGTTTCGCAAGTTCTAACTTAAGTACAGGGCAATGTGTCCCTCGACAATGTCCTGGTGAGGGCAGGAATCTGAAGCTTCGCTCCCGGAATGAAATCATCTCTTCCCGTTGAACAAAGCGACCTGCGATCCTTTAATATCGACGAGTCAGGGGAGTGCGCAAGGGACCTTCTCGTGGACGTCGGTGTTTGATGGAGAGTGGCCGTCATCCTGTCCATCATCAGCATTCATCCAAGTGTACGATATGTCGAGATCGAGATCTCAAATAGAACATCTTACTCTGTCATTGTACTGCCCCTCTTGCACGTCCACTGTCAATTTCAGCTGCTTGCATGCCAAGTCAATATTCGAGTTTGAAAGGTTATTTGTCACCTGGTCATGCGAATCTGTGTCGTTGCGATTGTTGAGCGAGTCCATGTCGACAAGAGCGATCATGTCACTGGATGACAACTCACACGTGTGTTATCAGGGAAAAGCAAGTTTACCTGTCAAACATCTTCTCGATGCGGCTGATATCGTCTTGAAGGATGGGTGGAGGGCTGCGCAGAGATCGTCCTTCTGAAATGAGATAAACCCCCACGCCAGCGAGCATCACTCCTACAACAGCTTCCTCGTCAGCATGCAGCGGGTGCACAGCATGCAAATTTCAGCCATGTACCTAGCGTGAAGAGTAGAATGGCACCCATCGACGCTCCTTCGAATTCTCGGTAAACGATTGCAGCACCAATGATACACGCCAAAGTGAAAGTGGCATAATAAGTAGGAATGACCTTGTTGTTATCATGAAATCGCATTGCCATTTGCAGATAATGTACAGACCATACAGCACATACAATAATGACCAAGAGAACCAAAAATGGGAACAGAGCCTGCGGGAACTGCGAGAATTGATTCCTACCCTTTTCAACTGTCAAGCGGAAAAATGCCATGAAGGACTTGCAACCAAGAACAGTCCAAGATGCAATCATGGAGCACAAGAGAGGGTAGACGATGACATAAGTCTTGCCATATTTCTCAGCAACTGATAAAAGAAGTAATGTACAAGAGATGATAGCGATAAAATACACGATTGCTTGTATCGTTCCAAAGTAATCACGAATAGCCTCTTCCACGGTTGGCTCTATCACAGCTTCTGTTCCCTTACTGTACACTATCAGGACCACTCCTCCAACAACGAATAAAAAGCCAACGAAATCAGTTTTGGAAAATGGCTCCTTAAGCACAAAAGTGGCGATGATCGCTCCAAAAATGACACCCACAGCGCCAATGGGTGTGACAACTGTTGCCTCAGCATAACCATAAGCTATCAGATTCCCCACCTCTCCGAAAGCATTCAAAGCTAGTCCAAACCACCAGATCGGAAGTGATGTGTATGGCTTCCTGGCCGCACCAAGAGCCTCGTTTTTCATGTGTGCATACTTTTGGATGTTAAGAGATGCAGATATCAGGCCATTACTTGCAATAGCTAGACCAATACCCAGCCATGTGATATCATCGTGTGTATGACCGTCCCCGGGTTCTGGAAGCGGCATACGAAATGTTCAAAGAAAACAAGAAATCCTTCAAACAACGGCCCTCAACATTCACGGCTGCAAGGATGATGTAGATCCCATCGATCACCTACAACTTTGAATCAGGGGCGAGAATCTTTCTCTTGAAACGGGATGTTTGATTGCAGTAGTGCCATAGAATTTCCTGATTATGTTCAGCTCTCACATTCCTCCTCTCTCCTTTCAAAATTATGCCTGCAGAATCTTTCTCATCTCCCTTTGCCTATCTTCTTCGCTCCTGCACACACAAATACAAAATACAAACACCAACACAAACACAAACACAAACACAAACACAAACACAAACACAAACACACAAAACTCACTTCTGCCCATCTATTCGAAATTCTTGTCTGCCCATGATTATCGCACGGATCCCAAAAATCGATCGATCGATCGTCTCATCGTGTTCTGCATTGTCACAGGGTCTCTTCTGACATTCCCATCATAATCTTAGTCGTTGAAAAAGTCATGATAGTCGTTGTCGCCCTTACAACGCCAACATCAACATCAACACTGCCTGCTCCTCAACCTGATTTTCGACCAGCCTCATCATATCCATCGTCGTGCCAATCATCATCGGCAATCCTCCTCCTCCTCCATCATAGCTGTTGCTATCACCATGAACCGAAAACCAAACAAATCGTCGTCATCATCATTACAACACCGTCATCGCGATCATCACTTCACTCTCCATCCCCACCACCGCGCCATCTCAACTTCAAAAAATTTCAACCTTCAGGGTATGACCACTACCCCTACCCCCTCCAAATCGCTCTACACCACCCCATCCCCATTTGACCAATGAGACCCAAACCACCCTCCACCCCAGCATTGTTCACCACCCCTACCTTGGGAGTTCTCTCGGATCCAGGGGTACTAGGCCCAGCAGCAAGCAGCCGGACAGCCGGTACAAAATACGTTGAATAACTAAAAATTCTGATGGTGCCGTGGCCCTGGCACTGCCAGCCGCTGAGCGCCGGGGTGACCTTGAGTCACTGGGCCACTTCCTCCGACGCGCCATGACGGTGACTCGCTGAAGCCCGGCTTCGGCGGGAGGGCCTGAACTTGGGGGCCCGAGTCGTGAGTGACGCAGGCGGACTCGGCCGGGAGGGCCTCCGACGCTCGGACTCCGGGAGCGGCGCGGCCCGGGCCCGGGGGCGCGGCCGCCGCCCCCGGCGGGCCGCCACCGGGTCGACACTCGGATCCGATCGGACAGAGTGACTTTAGACTTGGCGTTTTTAACTTGACTTGGGTTCAGTGTCGGACCACGAGTTGACTAAACCGGGCGATAGGCCGTACGACGGTCAGAGTCTGACTGGAAGTTGAGGAATGATGAGATGTTCAAGCCTCGGAGGGGTCAGGGTGGTGCCAGTACTGAGAGTAGAGGCCGGGGGTACTCTAGCTATGCATAAATCATCACTGAGGCTGACTCAAACTGGTGGGGTAGGGGTCATGCGATCCGCCGGGCTCACTGAGGGAACTTCCCAGGGTCTGAGGGTGGGTGGTGCTGGCGTAGGGTGGGTGAGGCCCTACCTGCCTCAACAATTTTTTCAATTTCATCGGTAAAACATGCAGAGCAGTCGCTGATAGGTTGGGAAGAGAACTGGCTTGAGATGCAAGGAGAGTCTTGCAAATATTTGAGGGAGCTAGCTGAATACAATGAACGCGGCAAGCCTACTACAAGATATTACCACATAATTCAGTGTTTTATACATAGATGATTTCATCATATCTTTGTCATTGCTTTCATCTGAGATAGAACATATTCTTGGCATAAATGTTGATCATATGCATGCGAATTACTCTCATTCACAATCACTTGGTAATCTACCAAGGAATCGTGAGATTCATATGCGAATAAGTCATGATGTAAAAAGTCAAAAATTGCCATGATTGTTTGTTTTGATTTGTAACTTCTGAAATCAAGCCAATGTGTGCGTAATGCATGTTTATCTCCTGCAATGAGTAGTTGTGTATTCGATTAGAGCAGTGGGACAGATTGGGATCAGAATGCTCATGCGGCCAGTTGACAAACTTCGAATTATGCTGATGATAATCAAAAGAAATGACTCGAAACTTGGAATGCAGGTGAATAGCACACCTCTCTTCGCTGTCACTGTGTCAAATGCTGGTACGTTGCTTGGATATTGAAGGGAACTTCTCATACTTGAGCAGGAGATGGAGCAAGTTAGGTTGGAGAATCTGCCATCATTGCCAAGCATCAATCACTTGGCAGAAAACGATGCTGTACATCCCTTTAGCACTGAAAATAATCGCAAAGTCGTACTGGATGACGAGATCATGCAAACGTCAGTGTGCTTGATATCCATGGCGCTGCAAGCACAGGGCATGACAGCAGCACAAGCTTTCGAAACGGTAGACTACGACAATGACAGCAGAATCTCTTTATCTGATCTTCAGGTGTGTTGGGGTTTTCCTTTTTATGATGGGGTTATTCTGATTCACTTTGCTCAGTCCTTGATCCAAATACTGGCTTTGCAGATGGAAGAGTCCACAGTGAACAGTCTTCATGCAGAGCTCGACACTGATCATTCCGGTTACATCAGCAAGATCATCTGGATCAGTGTGATTGAAGGTGCTGATGAGTATTCGGAGACTGTAATGCAGCCATTCCATGATCACCGAGTTGCACCCGACGGGGTGCAGCTGGATTGTCAAGAAACTGAGAAGAAAGGAAACTGGATTTATTGCAACGATATCGAGGAAGGGCAGCTCGAGGAGGATGTTCCATGTTACGATATAATGACAGATTCACGAGAGACACCTGAAGAGCTCAAGGAAGAATTGAAAGGAGGCCTTCAGTTCAGCCGCGAGGTCGAAGAGGGGCAACTTGTCGAAGGAGTTCCTGCATATGAGACTGACAAAATATGCGTCATTTCCTAATTTTTTGTTGAGTTTGAGATTCATTGTTGAGTTTGAGATTCAAAAAATTGTTTTGATAGGAAGAGGTTGAACGTCTTGCGGGATGCACCCAACTGATCAGTGTTTAGGTATTGCTTTACTTTCGTGATAAATAAATTACAATAAATTACATGATTCAGTTGTCGATTTTGTGAATATATTTTCCCAACCGATCAAGATTTTCGGTCATGAAGCTAATCGCCCTACTTGCATAAAGTTTAAGACTGTGAATTCTCTGATACAGAGCACCGTTTGGCGGATTTTCCTCAGTTCTGAGAAAACGTCTGTGGCCAGAGAGGTTATGAGAAATGAGCTGCAAAGCTTTCACTGCAATCCTCTTAAATTCTTGAGGGTACAATATCCTGGCAAGAAACGCGACAGGGAGCAAAGCTGCCATCATGAACAACAGCGAGCAAATCCCAAGGAAAACGGCAGAGGAAAACAATATTATCCCACCGAAGAGGGAGACTCCGAAGCCGCTGAAAAGAGCGAACCCTGTGAATATGACAGGAAGGTAGAGAAGGACAAGAGCAGGAGCTGCAACAACTGCCAGTCCCTTCACGTCCGATGCGAGCGACATCATCGCCAACGCGGTTCCCTTCCTCTCCATGGCGACTCACAAGCCTGAGATCAGTGGAGGGCTTGAATTTTTAAAAATATTCACTACCCCCCACCCTGTATACCAATAGACCCACCCCTGTATTATCAGATGAATGAAGAGCCAAGTACCGGTATTTGCAACTAACCCCTACCCCCTGTTCGCACAATTTGAATCCCTTGCCCTTAGGTTTTTGAAAGGTTACCATCGAAGGGGTGGCATAAACATATTTGGAGGGGTGATTAAAACATGGGGTCAGTGCAGGGGGTAGGGGTTATTATGACAGCGACCAATGATACAGTAAGAAAGGGGGGTAGATATCCAATGTTGGTTGTCTAACAGGAGGGTGGGGGTGGGTCGAAGAGGGTGGGTGGATATTCGTCATTTGTGAAAGTTGACCAGATCTGAGTTTAGCAGCTCGGATGCATGAGGCAAAGTCGGGTAGGGGTATATAAGGGAGGGGTGATAGAAGATTTGTAGGGGTGATAATCAGAATGTGTGCAGATTATCCCGCAGGGGTGTAGACAAATATATTACCAAATAAGGGGTAATTGATACAACTGGGGGGTGAAAAAATTATTATGGGGGTAGGGGGTCATCTTCGGCACAATTCGTGCGATGGGGGACAAACCAGGATGGACGACGACTAGAAGAATGGCGAGAGGAGTGGAAGAAGAGTCGCAAGGGATGGAAATGGCGGACCAGGAATGGAATGCAAGAGGGAGAGAGAACAGGGAGGAGAGAGAGGAGAACAGAACACGAGATATGGCAGCTTGAGGTTGATGGTAGTATGCTAACTGATCGAGGAGGTGGAGTGCAGGAATCAGAGAACAGCTGGTAGACTTTCCTTGACGTACGCATAAGATAAAGAGAGATGCGAGGATTGTGAACATAGACATAGCAGTGACTCTATCAAATTGAAGTAGATAGTGATTGACTCTAGCAAATAATACAGCAGAAAGGTAGACAAAGGCGCTGGATAAGTGAAGCTGAACAACATCGCACAGGCGTGAAACTCGAGTAGCAAGCACGGAAAGCAAGCTTTTCTCATGTAGAAGGGTTGGACACATCAACCTTGAAACATGTATCACACAAGTTCCGAATCAGCCAAATGGATACCTCCGCTATGCTTGAGTGCAGACGCAGATTCGCTTCTTCAACAGGGCCCCGCGCAGCAGTTGGGCAAGCTGCTTGGGTTCTGTTTGGCAGCTCTTTCTGCTGCTTGCTTGCTGAAGATCCACACGTATGCTGTCAAGGTGAAGCTAAGAGACTTTGCCTTGTTTGGACTCATTCTGGTCACAGGAGGACATGTTGTCGCATCTTTCCTCCCCGTCAGAAGGTGAAGCATCGCAAGGGGAAGAGGCTCAACATGAGACTGGAAGCTCCACAGAGGAACAATGTCCAGCACATGAGCAGCAGGCCTACCAGGCAGTGACTGCGAACCCCCGGATCCGACTGGGAGCAGCAAGACGAGACCCTGATGCCTTGCCGACCCTTCGCCCCTTCCGCTTGCCCGGGCTGAGTCCGCAGGACATTTTTCAGATCGGCGCAGACTCCTCTGCCGGCTCAACGGGGTTGAGCAGCTTCCGCTCCGTTGAGAGCATGACGGATCCAGCGATGGACATGAATGTCATGGAGCTGCAAAGGGAGATCAGGGCAGCGATGGAGAAACTGCAGTCGCTGGAGTCCCGGCTGTGCTCAGTGGAGAAGGGGAGCGTGTCCGGGAACGAGGATGAAGCTGTGAGTGGCTCCGCCTCCCTCTCTGACCACGAGGCTGCTGGTTACTACTCACTGGGAGGGAGGGAGAGCGAGGTGAAGTCGGAGCCTGCTATGGCTGGTTGGGAGGGGAGGCTGGAGGGGAGCAGGGAAGAGGCGGGCCCAGTTGCCAGCAAGAGCCCACGGAGCGTTGAGAATCGCTCGGAAGCTTCAACCATCTGCTCTGTGCAGACTGACGGGCAGCCAGACTCGCTCTTCCTCGACGGTATCCCGATGCATCAATCCCTGCGGCACTGCCAGGACGCTGAGGACTTCTTCCTTGTCCACAACCCATCCTCGAGGGAGATTCCTCAGGAGGAGGAAGAGAGGGACGCCAACAGTGTGCAGGTCAGCCGTTTGCAATCCTGTGTGTTTCTCGCTCCGCTGACTGCTTGCTTTCGCATCTACAGACATTTTTTCAGACCATTATGAGCAAGAGCTTCTCGAGAGAGCTTCACTTCTGAATCTGCTTGCTCCCCAGCCCCCGCCTCCTCCTCTCCCCGCATGTACATCTCCGCTTCTCTCCTTCCCTCCCATTAAACACTAGCGATCACTGATGATGAGCGATGCAAGCACCTGTAGCATGCCAGTTATCTATCCCCCCCCCCCCCGCCTACTCCACGTATTCATACTCACAGCATAATTTCCCGACGGCTGGGAAGCCGCTGTTGCTCCTAGAGGCTCCACACTGAAAAATTCCCATCAATACGAGATGAGTATAAGAGCAACGAGGAGCAGGAGGAGCAGGAGGAGGAGGAGGAGGAGGAGGATCAGCAGCAAGAATCTTGTGGAGTCCTCCCACCTGATGTGCAGACATTCTACCGGCCGAAAGCATTCGCGCATCACTTGCTGTAAAGAAGTCACGCCTGGGAGTGACAGGGGAAGGCGTACGCTCATCATGTCCTCTCTGACACACTTCTGCGCCTGAGGGTAGCCCTGATCGCCTCCGCCACGAGATGATCCTGACATGGTCAAGTCATCGCAAGCAACGTCTTGACTCCTCCCCTCCTCTGCCTCCCCCTCCTTCTCCAACCTTCTCCTCCTCCTTCCCTCCACCTCCTCCTCCTCATCCTCCAACCGTTCTTGTCATCGATGCCCAAGATCGCGTCGACAGCAAGAATCGCACTGATTCTGCATGGCATCGCCATAGACCCTCGAGGAGGTCTCCTACACTCGTGTCAGTGATTCCTGATGGAGCAGGAGAAGAGAGGAAGGAGAGGAGGATGATGAGGGAGGGAGGGGAGGGAGGACGCAGAAGGACATGGAGAGATGAGGAGAGAGGAGGGGGGAGGAAGGAAGGAGATACTTCTTGTCTGCCACGGAGGCAGCAAGCGAGTTGTATGTTGGATCCCATGTCCTCGGAAACTTGGCACTGCTGTATGTCCCTGCACATGCTGGTGAGACCAACTCCGCTCCTCTCCTCCTTCACCGATGGCCAGGGACCGAGCGACTGCCTCCCCCAGCCCCCCGAAGGTCTTCGCGCTTCCTCCTCCTCGCTCTTCCGACGGCTTCGGATCCATCAAGAGATCTCGCAGCTCCATCACGGGGAGCAGGAGGTGGTTCTGTGCTGCAAGCTCGCCCTCCCTCTCCGCGCCCTCCCGCACGTCCAGCCCTTTAGAGAGGAAGGGAACTCCTTCGAACTTCCCAATAAGAAGAGCAGCAGAGGTGGAGGTTGGGACCTGGCAGGCGGACATAAAGGAAGACATAGCCTTCCTCATCGCCTTCCAGATCGCCTCCTGGTTTGGAACCGTGCTCACGAACACAACAAGTCTATCCCCCGCCCGCCTCCTGGACAGGTCCAGCAGCACAGCAAGCATTCCTCCGTAGCTCCCCTTGGGCAGGTTGATCCCTGGATGGCTGCAGCCATCGTGCCCCGGGAAAGAGAAGAAGCGATGGGAAAGGACGGGAAACTTGGACGCGAGGAGGATGCCGGAGTCTCCAGTGAGGCCAAGCGAGCGACAGCCAACCTCGGCGACGACGTGAGCGAGTCCCAGAGGAGTCGAGAACGACTTGAGGAGCTCGAGACGCGCGGCCTCAGCATGGACTCCAAGGAGGACAAGGATGTCGAGGTTGCCCTCCTTCTCCAGCCCGCTGAGGGGGAAGGAGCAGCGGTGCAGCCACGAGACGATGTGCCTTGTCCTCTCCCGCGTGCATCGGAGCCCCGCGTGAAGGTCGCAGTCCAGCTGGAAGAGGTTTAGGGGATGCTGTCGCAGGGAGGAACTCCCTTCCTTCCTCTGCCTGTGACCCATCCTGTAGCTTTCCTGCAGGGCGATGAAGCTCAGCGGGCAGGGGGTGCGGAGGAGGAAGAAGCGCGAGGTCGCATGGCTGCCGCTGTTGCCGTTGAGGTACTCCCTCTCCACGTGCCATCCTGGCGACGCGCTGGAGGAGAAGACGACGCGTCCTGAAAGGGATAACTCCCACCGCATGTAGAACTCAACGCTGCCGAAGCCGCCGCTGCTTTCTCCTCCTCCTCCTTCTCCTGTCTTCACCTCGTACGCCACCTCAGCCGAGGGACTGGAGAGTAAACCACCAAGAGACTCGCTGGCCATCACGATCTCCTCCCCCGGCGAGATCTCGGGAGGAGGGAGGATCGCCCAACGCATCTGCTCTCCACCGTAGCGCTGGAGGGACAGCGAGAGAGTCGTGCAGTTCAGCACATGGAGCATGACGCTCTTCTGCCCTCGGGACGAGGAGGAACGGAGGGGCCCAGATAGTCTCTGCTCCGCCTCCACCTGCAGGGTGGCCACAGGGATCTGCCGCAGGCTGGAGACGATCTCCCAAGACCTCTCGTCCAGCTTCTTGAGCTCGTCCAGGTTGCAGTCTGTCCACAGGGCTTCTCTCTTACTCACATGCTCGAACTCATCCCCTCCAGAGGAATGCTCGTCCTCGTTCGATGAGTTTCCCCCCTCGTAACCTTCCTCGTGAACCTGATGCTCCTCCTGCTCATCAGCTGCAATCTCCTCCTGCTCCTCCTCCTGCTCCTGCTCATTCTCCTGCTCCTGCTCCTGATCCTGCCCCTTTTGATCCCCTGGTCCCTCCTGTTCATCGTGCTGCCGCTTCTCCTCTTCCTTAGCCGAGATTCCCTCCATGTCTCCTTTCAGCATCCCTCCATCCCTCCCTCTCTTCTCCTCCTCGTAGATACAGTCTGACGGAGACTTTCTCTCACTTTCCCGTTGCTGGCGGTGAGACCGTAGAATATGAAGGTCGAGGATGTTCATGGCTCTTGCGGCCGCCGCCATGATCTCCTCCTCTGAGATCTCATTGAAGCTGTCCTGCTGGTGGGTTGAAGCTCCCTCTTCCGGTTCAGAAACCTGCTCATCCTCCTCTTTCCTGCTCGCAGCTCCATCTTCTCGAGATCGTGCTGGAGAAAGTTGGGTGGGATGACCAGCGGGAGATGCCGTTCCGAGTCCTTCACCCATCTTTGAAAGTAAGCTCCGTTCCACTTCGTCCTCGTGGTCCTCCTCCTCTCCTTTTCCTCTATCCTGCTCTTCTCCTTCACCCCCATTCTGCTTCTCCATTGACTCCTCGTCGTTGTTGTTGCTCGCATCCAGGTTTTGCTTCTCGTTCTCTAACTTAACAACCTGCTCCTCAACTCTCTTCTCGTCTCCATTCATCATCGCTTCAGCAGACCAGTGACAACTATTTTGATCCTCCGGGAACAGCTTTGGGCTGAAAAGTCGATTAGCTGGAGACGAAGAGACTGCAAGTGGAAGCATAAATCACCTTTCTCCTCGCCGCTGCTTCTCCATCCTCGAAGACGAATTTGTCTTCGGGCTCCTCTGCCCGTTGCGCGAAAGACTCGTTGGACTCGATGGAAGGTCGAGATGATGAGAGACTTTCTTGGTGGGCGACCTGACGTCGATACGTTCGTGGAATCTTTGCGCTTTCTTCTCGAACGCAGCGCAGCTCATCTTTTTCCTTAGGTCTGGAAAATTGCAAAACTGAGCACGCAACCGACTTTACAGCAAGGGTAACCGGGATCATCAAACGCCATGATGCTTGACTTGGCACACTCCTTGGCGCCATGCAGCTTTGACATCCTCGACGTCTTCAACACTGTATGCTTCACCTGAATGCCTGTGTGCCTTTGCGTGAGAGGCCCGAGGTTGAGAAAGTTACGAATATTGACGATGAACGTGTGGTCTCTGCGCAAGGTGAGGGATCACATGGAGAGCTCTGCAATCATGGGCATGCATTACATTCGGTTCAGCCTTGAGGCGAGAGGATCATCTCTCGGGTTGAAAAGCGACAAATCGAGGAGCTTCTCCTGCTGCCAAATCCCCTCCTGCCATCAACCGCGGATCAGAAGTCGCTGACAAGGAGGAGGAGGAGAGCAAGAGCTCACCAACATCCGATCCGTGACAGCGAGGAAAGGAGCAGTTACACGAAGGAGCGCCAGCCACTCTCCTATCAAGTTTCGCACGCTCTAGCAACGAGCTGTCAGGGAGTAGCGGACGTGGTGGCGGTTACCAGTGCGATGACTGCCGTCAGTTGAGCCGCAGGGATCAAGACTTGGAAAGGCGATGAAGAGCTCGGGATTTGACCCACAGCACTGATTTGTTGGACTCCATCCAGAGAGAAATTGTTGTTGGGCCTGCTCTCTTTCGATTTTCTTGCAGTCTCCACGTAGCGACTCTTGACAAGTGACAGATTATTTTGAAGGATAGGTGAGACCGATCTTGTATATTCATCTGGCTTCAAGATCGATTTCATCTTCACAGCTTCAACATGTTTTGACTCCTTCCGTACTCACCAGCATCTCATTCGGCGTGCGAGGAACGAAGTCGGCGTATACCACAGAAATCGATTCCTCTGTGTGAACCTTGCAAAGTCCTGAATGAGCACCGTTCTCAACATCCCGAGCACTCACGATCTCGACGAGCAGGTGTGGCATCAAGGAATGATCAGAATCTACGATGGCGAGGAGTCTCGAGTGAGTCTGCTGCAATCCTGTTGAGGGGGTGAGGAAAACTAGTGCCATACTATGAACCAATGTGGGGAGATCATCAAACATATATAATGACCCATTTTTCTGTCAAGATTCATAACAACGACGATGTCAAGGGGGATACCGTTCAGGTGTACTTGGATGAAGACTATCTTGATGATCTGGAATGTCTCGATCAGAGCTCTGAGTCCCCTCCTTACTCTCCTCACGCTCGTCTCGGAGATGCCGAAAGTTTTGATACTCTGACAGTGAATCCTTCCCACGTCCTGCTTGCTGTTGCTCAACTTCAAGGAATCCTGTCACCCTGTTTCAGTGATCATCAAGCCAGTCGCTCCTGACCTGTTGGATCTTTTCATCGATGACAGTATCCACTTCTTCGTTGACGAACGATAGAATTCCTTCCAAAAGTTCGCCATGTAGGATTTTCATGTGATCGTAACTCATCCTTGTCTCGTGGCGACGATGAACCGTTGTCCTCGCCATGATTGCAGCTGTGTCTGTGTTCTCTTCACGCTTCGTTCATGTGCATAATTCAGTCATGCCTCATGATGGATCGCTCCATTTCATTCAGATATGAGCGTCTCCAGCTTCTGCGGATATGTGCGTCTCCAGCTCCTCTGTTGCATCCCGACAGATCGGGAGTTATCTGGACTTGTATGACCAGCGGCAGCATGCACACTGGGAACCATGGGGAAGGAGCATAAGACTTCACGCGCTTTCTATGTCCTGCATTGAGTCCCTCCTCTTGTTCGTCATCCTCCTCATACAACCATCGCAACTCCAGACCTACGCAACTTCTCAGACCATCGCGGGCTCAATGTTCCGAGTTTGACAGAGGCGGGTTAGCTGCGGGGTATTTGAGTAATACTATTGAATATACTTATTACCCGGCTGCCGCTGTGCCAGTCGCGGCGCACCACTGGCACTGAGTCGACGGCCCGGCGGGTGCCGCAGCTGAGACGGCGGCCCACCACTCTCCAAGGCTCATATGCCAGTCAGAGTGATGGAACCGTCCGTATGCCAGCCGTGCTAGTCAGATAGCGCCGAGTTAACCGTTGAAAAACTCCGAGTCAGCCTCCTGTAAACCAAGCTGAATGCTTGGGCTTTACCGTCGAGTCTTGAGCAACAGTGAACTCCGAAACTGTCTTGTCGCCGGAAGTCAAGTTAGGCTGGCACCACACTGTGATGCTCAGTGCTCAGCCTGTCACCCGGGCCCGGCGAGTGGAATAGCAACGTGTCGGCGGGCCGCCGGCGCGCGGCGCGCCGCCGGCCCGCCGGGCCGCCCGGAGTCCGAGCCGGCGGGGGGCGATAATGAGTAAAATTCAAACGGCAGTGTTGCGACTCCTGAGATGAGGCTCCTGACTCTTGCAGTGCTGGGCCGCTAGTCTCTGACTGCCGGTACCGACCCCAGTAAAAAAGGGGGTGGGGTGTTGATATAAATCCCCTACCCTTGTCCGATATACCCCTGTTTACGAGGTGAATTCTACCCGTCCCTCCTCTCACCAATGCAGGGATGTACAAAAGTTCCCCACAACCCCTGCACCACCCCGCCAGTTCGAATTCAGGCTTCCGACCCCACAGATGTGGCGGACTACCCCCTACCCATCATACCTGATTTAGAACCATGCTCTTTCCCTGATATCACCCTCAGATGTGACCAGGGGGTGGTAAATTGTACCCTCTCTTCGCCCTGTCATGGCCCTTCCTGAGTTCCAACCCGCGCAACAAGAAATTTGTACAGGTGGGGGTATATTGGGTACCCCTTGTTTTGACAATGAATCTTGTGGTAGTCTTTCAACGAATGAGTAGGGGTGATACCCTCATTAGATTTTAAAATAGTGGTTACAAGAATATACAAGAATAACCGATGAATACGGCTTCATCGCATTTCAGGAAAGAAGCATGCAGCGAGGCCGTCGAGGAATGGCGGCTTTTCAGGCCCTCCGCGTCTGTTTCGGCTCTATTCTTGCTGTTATGCTTGATGAGACTACTGCATTCAATCATCTTGCCACTTCTCCAGCGTTTCAGAGACATGCAGTCAAGCCCGGCGCAAGTTGCACGAAGCGGGGGACATTTGATCACGTGCAGTCTGTTCGTCCTTTCCAGTTGAGAATGTCTAGCAGAGAAGACGATTCCAAATCACCATTCGTCTACTTCAAAGATGTAGAGTTCTACAGTGATGACGGCAATAGTTTGGAGACTCTCTCGACCCGTCCTTTGGGTAGAGTGGAAGAAATCGGCATTTTCCCGCTGGGCTTGGTTTTGAATCCTGGTGCGCGTGTGCCACTTCACATCATGGAAATGAGATACCGGCAACTTTTTACAAAGACGTGGGAAGGAAAACAGAAGGTAGTGAATTTTTTTTGTGTTCGAAGACGTTGTACTAATCTGGAGTGTCAGGTTGGATTCGTGATGTATGACAAGGATCGTAACCGATGGGCAAAGGTTGGTACAACGGCGAGACTGATCAGTTTTGATACCAAGCCTGATGGGAAGATCATGACCTTGGGGGAGGGTGATGAGAGATTTAGAGTGCTCAAAGTCACGAGGATTGGAAGCCAGATGGAATATATGAAGGCATTGGTGGAGTACATCGATGATGAAAACACTGAAGAGGATTTGAAACCGCTGGAAGAAAACGTTTGGGAATCTCTCAAGCAAGTTTTGTCCCTTTCCAATGAACTCTACGGCAAGAAGTTGGATTTGAAAGATAGTCTAAAATCTCTTGCTCCGCGCAAGTCATACAACATGGGGAAGAAACCGCTAAGGTCAGAAATCGTACGACAAAGGTTGTTTTCGTTTGCTGTTGCCCAGGTTTTGGACATGCCTCTCCTCGAACAGCAATCATTGCTGCAAGTTCAAGACACGAAGGAGAGATTCCGCAGGGAGATGGGCATGCTGGAAATGGCTCAACAATTTTTGACTGCGCAAGTGTCTCTGAAGAATGCGTTTGGATCCAGCACGGAATGATTGCAAACTCACTGTCGAACTGTTTAATAGAATGAAGGTTAACAAAAGCTGAGGATTTAGATATTGATATGTCCTCTCTTTTAACGATTTGATTTACCTGTGCAAAATGACTGAATAAAAGTACGAAATTTTGGAACGGAATAACACATCATCTCATCTCAGATGTTTGTTGAGCCATCCTCAACACCAAATCTGATTTATTCCATAGCAAGGTACCGTTTAACATCCGTTGAAGATGTTATTTGTGACAAGAACATCTACGCTTGATCGGTCTTGAGGGTACTCAGCTTGGGCGTTCTGTAGGAAACATATGGTCTGAGCTGTGTTGCTGTTTCAGTTTCATGGATGAGTCAAATCAAATCCTGCTTACATCACAGTCCGTGAAATCTGGGACAACCAATTCTTCGATCTTGTGCTCCTGCCTATGAAAGTTTCCTGCAAGTATTTAATGTCAGACAGAAGGAGACAGGCAGCAGATCGATCGGGTAACGTACCATGCTTGGTAATAAATCCTGTACTCTTGGCTCCTTTTCCTTTGTAAAAATTCCTCTGTATGCAAATCAGGTCATCACCATTACAGCAATGCGGTAGAAAGGTAAGGAGAACAATCAAGATCAAACGACACGTACAGGGCCTCTCTTGGATGTCATGGGGAATCGTCCAAAGCTATGTCCCTGCCTGTTACTGAACTTTCCTCTGATGTTCTCCATCATGCTCGCAAGCGCAGCCGCCACAGGTCTCCTCGCTGCCTCCATCGCGATCAGCCGGCGCCTCCAGCCCCCTGAGGCCGACGCGAGGCAGTGAGCTCTGAGGCGAGCTTGAATTTATTCTGAGGCGAAGCGCATCGCTTTCAGCTTTGATCCTCACGGTCTGCATCGATAGTCATTTCTCTATTTGTATGTTGCTGCCTTTTTTTGTGCCTATTCGCTTGCTCTGACTTTGCTCGCAAAGTTGCTACAACAGGCCCATCGGGCCTTCCGGTCGCCATGCAGGAGTACGACGAAGAGTTCGCCATCGGCTCCAACGTTGTCGTTGCCAAGGTGAAGGAGGAAGGGCACTTGAGCTTAAGAACGCTGAGAGGGAGAATCACATGAGGTTCCGGGAGTCGAGCAACGACGATGGGATAGCAGGCAGGCAGGCAGGCAGGCAGGCAGGCAGGCAGGCAGGCAGGCAGGCAGGCAGGCAGGCAGGCAGGCAGGCAGGCAGGCAGGCAGGCAGGCAGGCAGGCAGGCAGGCAGGCAGGCAGGCAGGCAGGCAGGCAGGCAGGCAGGCAGGCAGGCAGGCAGGCAGACACCTACTGCAGTACACAACATTCAACTTGTTCTGACAGGGACGTATGGACCATCAACGCTATGCGATCAAGAAATGCGACAGCCTGTTCAAGCACAGTCGAGAGATGAATCTCAAACTTGCATACACCATCCAAGAAGCAAGAATATTTCTGCATGTGAAGCATCCGAACCTGGTCAGCATCGTTGTAGATCACCTTGGTTTGCTCATCATGTCTCCACATAGGTGAGAGTCTTCGACTTCTTCACGGACGGGCCATGTTTCTGTGTGGTGCTGGAGTATTGCTCGCTGGGAACTTTACGGCATCAGGTCGATCACGCCATGAAACATCAGCTGCAGGTTTGCTGCCTGCCTCGCTGACTGCTGCCGAAGTTGTGAGAGCAAGATTTCAGCTGTCTGAGCCAACACTGTGGCGGTGGATGACGGAGATTCTGCTCGGGGTGTCATTCTTGCACAAGATGAGGATCGTACATCGTGATCTGAAGCCAGAAAACGTCTTCTTAGCTGGTTCTCAACTACCAGGAACGATCAAGGTGAGCATTGGTGAGCGAATAAAGATGCGGGAGGTGACAGGTAGAGGCTCAGGTCGGCGATCTTGGCAGCGCTAGGATCATGAAGGGTGGGGAGACGGCTCTCAAGACAAACTTCGTCGGAACAGAAGGATATGCTGTGAGCCGTGAGAGAATGGTTGGAACTGTCTCACTACTGGACAGGCGCCGGAAATACACCAATCACAACCTTACGATGAGAGAGTCGACTTGTGGAGCCTTGGAATCGTGTGTATAGAGCTTGCTTGTTTGAAGCGACCGTCGGAAAGGAGCTTGAGTAGCAGCGGCTTCCTAGAGAAGACATTTTCTCCTTATCCGAGGTGTGCCATAGATTTGCTCTCCGCTGACAGTTCCCTGAAGTCATTGCAGTCAGAGGTGCTGGATAGAGCTTTCTAGCAGGATGACGAGGAGGTTGGAGCAGAGAATTTCTGCAGAGGGAGCGCTACAGCTCTTGAAAGATATGGAAGTGACCACAAGTCATCGCGCTAGAGGAGGCAGTGGAGGGTCAGAAAACGGCGCTCCTGATCTCCTCGACCCGCAGCACGGGGTAAGTAGACCGGAGAGTTGTAATCAGATGTCAGGGCAGGAGATGCATCATTGATGCATCGTAAGGCAGAAAATTGTACATGTACATATCCATGTTAAATTAAGAAACTTTGCTATCTAAGTGAATGAAAACAAGTTGAAAGCTCCATGAACGCTGTATCACTGGAATGAAGTTTGCAAAATATGCCTCACGGATTTTGATGTCGAGAGATCGAATGCTTTCCTTCCAGTCTCATCTCTCATCATGCAGTCTGCTCCCTGCTCAATCAAATTCCGCACGCATTCCTCGCTGTTGGATCTGGAGGCCAGATGCAGGGGAGTCATACCAAAGTCATCCTGCACGTTAACCTGGAACTGTTGAGCTGTCAGGAGGTTTCGGAAGTTGAGATAGAGAGACCTGTCCAGTCTTGAACAGCATCTTCATAATCGGCAAGTTGCCATTCATCGCTGCGTAATGCAGTGCATTCCTTCCAACATCATCGGCCGCGACGAGGTTGACGTCTAGTTTCTCCTTGTCGCTGTTGACGAGAGATTCTCTAGTCAAAGTGGTCACTAGACATCACAATCATCCTCTTGTCTTGTCTCACCCCTCAAGGAACCATTGGACCATCTCCCGGTTGTTGCAAGACACGTGGAAATTGAAGGCTGTCCTCCCCTTCTTGTCCTGAACGTTGACGTCCGGGTCGAGCTTGGCGCCGTGTAGTCTCGCTCGGATCAGTCTGACAGGAAAAGGAATCAACAGCACCAGTCTGACGTCAGCTACTCCTCACCTTTGCGCAACCTCGGGCTTCTTGATCGAGTGCAGGGGCGTAGAGCCGAAGGAATCCTTGTGACAGGGATCTGCTCCTGCACCCAGCAGCGATCCCGCTGACATCCCCTCCTTCACGTAATGCAGGGCCGTGCGATTGCTGAGATCGGTCTTGCTCACAAGGACGGTTCGCAGTTCAGGAGGAGAAGAGAGCAGGGCATCGACAAACAGGTGCCAACCCTGCTAACTGCATGAGATGCGACAAGAAACAGGCAGCCATGCGCTCTCGGTCTTACCCTCTCCGCAGCGATGTGCAACGGGGTTTTCCCCAAGTCATCTGATTCTTGTGACAGCCGCTCGTGATCTTTTGCCACCTTTGTCGATGATGATAAGAAGCAACATTATGAAAGAGGAACTTGCCTTGACCGCCTTCTTCACTTCATCCAGGACCCTAGTTTCGTCGTCCCGATATTCTTCAAGAAGACTCATCAATATCATACTGCTCTTCAACGCCTTTGGGGAAAAGGCATCAGAACTTGAAACCTCAAAGGGGACTAAAAGAATAGATGCAGAAAGCGATAGTAGATCCGGCCATAGTAGATCCGGCAAGGTGAGGAAAGAGGAGAAGTGGAGAAGAAAATGATTATTAAAGAATTACTTCGTGAGTCTGATACATCATGCTTCCAATGCGCATTTCCTCCCTCAGTGAAAAGGACCCTGTTCCGAGTCTTGATGACGAATGTCAGACGTGAGGCAGAGATTCACAATCATAACACATACAGGATGAGGTCGACATCGACGACACCATCAGTCAACCCATTCTCCGTCCATTCATCTCTCATTTCGTTCCGAAACCTTTCGAAGGAGGACGCGCTCCGGATTTCCGTCCATTCGTTCTTGTGGTTGATATGCCTTCAAAAAGTCTCTCAACTTATCGTCCGTGGAAGAACAAACCTTACCTGAAATGTGCGACCTTCCGAAATCTTTCTTTTAGCAAATTGCACAATTCGGGCCATTCAATGTTGAATGGGAATTTGACTTCTATAATTGATTCATCGGCGTACGGTAAATGATTCGAAATTTTCAATGTTATGCTCCTGAAGCTCTTTAGAGGTTTGTCGCAATCATCAAAATGCTTTGAACCTTATGGAATCATTCCTAGCTTTTTCTGAATTGCTATGGCTGCTTTGAGAAGATGCAATAAGCTCTTTCTGCTTTTTCATTCTTTCTTCTCGAAGGGCTGTTGGGTCTTTTTCATCTGCAGCAAAAGTCATGGTGACCCACTCATGGATAGGAAGCAAACAGTACCTATCGCCTGTGCGATGATAATGATATCTTGCTTGATCTTCATGAGATCTTTTCTCTCGTCAACAACGGTGTTGACAACAGCCTCCAGCCTCGAGCTCGTATGTCCAGTGGTAGAAGGCGGTCTTGCCTCAAGATCTTCAAGAAGCCTTGTTCTCATTTCTTGGATAAACATCAGATCCAAGTAAGAAACAAACGCACACATTACGCTTGACGAACAGCTGATGTGAAATCTCTGAATCTACTCGATTCCTCTTCTTGCCTCCTTCTTCGAACCACAGGAACCCGGTGACCTTCTGTTTGACCAGAGCCCTGGCGTCTTTCAAGAAAGTGAAGAAATCGTCTTCAGAGCTTGAATTGAAATCATCAGCTCGAACAGAAACGGCCCATTAGCTTCTCACCTCATTTCTAGAACAAACTCTGGCTGATGGCTCTCCAGCAACATCATAAACCTGGACGGTTCAGCTGCAAGATAGGTGAGCATGTGAAGAAGAGGATAGGTTGGATATTCTGGGAGCACTGACGTAATGCTCGCACACTCGTTCGTCTTCCTGTTATCCGCCCGCACTCTCGTCCTCGTCCTCGTCCTTGTATTCATCGTCCTTATCGTCCACATCCTAGTAGCCTAACCTCAACTTCCTCGACCTTCTCGATCTCATCATTCTCATTGTCATCGTCGATGTCTCAAATCTCCTTCGCTTGCCCAGCTCTTGCTGCTGCACCTGTGCCTCCTCCCTCCTCCCCCCTGCTCCTGCTCCTGCTCTGCTCCTGATCATTATCCTCCTCCTGTGCTGTGTTGATGTCCATCCTCCTCCTCCTCCTCCCCCCCCCCCAACCACCCCCTCCTCGCCTTACCCTCTGCCATGATGTTCTTGTGAGGTCCCGCCAAGGCTACTCCGACAGTACCCTCCCCCTTTCTGACCCGCATCCCCGCGCTTTCCCATCAGGGAAACAAAAGAAGGAAATTTGCGACCCCCTGTAGCAGACAAGTGGAGGAGGAACTATACGACGATGGCGAAGACAATGCAGACATTAGAGTGAGAGTGAGAGTGAGAGTGAGAGAGCATGATATGAAGATGAAGATGGAGAAGATGATGGGAGCAAAGATGAAGGGGGGATCTGCCATAACGAGACTCATCGTGATAGCCGTTGTAGTCCTGTTAACATCGCAACCACTCGCCGGCTCCCGTGATGGAAATTTTGGACGCTCGAGCGTAGAAGGACCGGGTTGGAGAAGGAGAGCCACAAGGAAACTCGGGGCCTGTCTTTCGGATGGCGTCCAGACTCTGCGGCTGACTGGAGGAGGTCCAAATGAGGAGGGGCAAGTGCAAAGGAACGCTTTCGAGTCGTTCTTGTCGTTCTTGTCCTTGACTCATCAGAAAGAGGCCCGGTTGCTGGCATATGACACTGTCATCTACATCATGGATCAGACCATCAAAATGCTAGTCAACAGGAATCAAGATAACTCTCGCGAGCCTGTCATACATTACTCGATCGAAATGGAAGAACGCATAGCCGGTCCGGGATCGCCGCAAGGAGCAGAGAAGGTTCAGCACCTTACTGATTTCTCCTCGATATCTCTTCATCTTGACTGCGCATGCCTCACCACAGGTGATGGAGTTCCTCTCATCCATAGGGCTCGAACCTATCGGCCCCCTGGCGTCCTCGGGAACTGAAAAGAAGCTCCGGCTGCAGCGGATCTGTGACATCACCGTTCTGAGAGACTCAAGGAGAATTGCGTTGGAAGCGATGAATGATCTTCGCCTTCGGAGCCAGCACGAGAGGCATGAAGATGCGATGGACGTGGAGGAGGATGCCCGCGGTGACCTGCGGGCAAGCGGCGATGTCCGTGTCGAGCTACTGGAGAAGGAGATGCAGAAGGCTGCGAGTGAACTGAGATTCGAAGATGCTGCGAAGCTGAGGGATGCATTGGAAGTCCTCAGGCGGCAGTCTTCTGATTCAAACGCCCAGCAACAGTCGAAATCCCCAAGAGTGGGCGGAGCTAAACCAAACAGCGATTTCCCATGTACAAGCGGTATTCGAAAGTCTTCAAATAGTCCGCCAGGTGCTATTGGTGCTCGGAAACCCTATCAGCGGCCGAGCCCGACTCTTTGGCCACAGAATGATAATGAATTTCAAGGTTTGCTCCACTTGTGTTTCCTCTCCCCATATTGCGTTTGACTCAAGCTCTTGACAGACAGTGACTCTGAGAAGGTAGATCCAAGAGACTCGGCGATGTCTGAGGTGAGATATGACAAGTGATCGAAGTGGTTGATGTCTGGTTGTTAGATCCTGAAACAAGCCAAGGAGGCGATGAACAAAGTTGCAGATGATGAACTCAACATCCGACAAGTAGGCTTTCAGACACCTTCTTTCCCCTGATTTGATTCTCTCGGACCAGGCTGCGTTGGCGAGTGAAAAGAAGTTGAAAGAACTTGTTTCAGCGAAAAAAGGTGATTCGGGCCGTTCAGGTTTTTCAGTCGGAACTGAATTCATTGCAGATAAAGAGAAAGTGAGCACTTTATTATCTTCTCTTCAGCTCTTACATGGCATCTTCACTCGAGTAAGAATTTTTGCTGTTGTCTTGGAAAACTCACGAATTATTCCTAGGTAATCGAGTCACCTGGAGAGCAGGATCTCAGAATTGTGCTTCCATCTTCTGAAAACTTTCTAGAGCGTATGACAGGCTATACCTCTATGTGAGGGTCACATGCACGCAGAGTCTGGATGTTTACATTCCACAGTGTCGAACTATCTACAGGTGAACAGATCCCCCCCTTGCTAGCCCGATTGACTCGCTGCTCCTCAGTCTGTTGGCTTCTACCACGACGGTCACGGTGAAGTTTTGCGAAATTCCATACAACTTGATTTACTTTTTGACGCAGAAAAGCTTGTGTTACCAGACGATTACCCTCTCTTTCTGATTCGAGAAGCCGCGGCATCAGTCGGTACATATATTATCACGACGTTTTGTGAATGTGACTTGTGTGAATGTGACATATTTTAAGAACTCGAAATGGATCCACTGCTTGCAAAAGCGACGGAACAAGTCGTTGGAATTCCTTTATTTCTTTGTTGTCTGATGAGGGCGCGATCAAGCAGGATATTATTTCGCGATATCCCGACTATGCATCGAGAAATCCAATAATCCTCCTGCCAGCAGATCGTAGCGGCAAACCACAAGCAGAGGTAGACTTGAACAGAGACAGAGTGATCAGACGTGACTTCGGCATCAGGATTATCCCGAGGAGGTGTACGACTTCAATGCTAAGTACTTTCCTCCTGTCTTTGGGTCCACCCGGTTGATGGTTGCCGCAGAGACTTGCTTCTCTGCCTTGAGAGCAACAAACGACGATACGAGGAGAGCTCTCAGCTAATGTGGGTTCAGTCTGCGAGCTCTGCAGTGCGGTGTCTTCTGATGAGGCTGTTTGCTGCGTAGGACACGGAAGATGCGAGAGGCTCGTCATAGCACTAGGAAGAACATCTCAGAGCCGGGCAACATCAGAATCCGGTTCGGCGACGGGTGTTTCCTCCAAGGGACTTTCGACGGAGATGTAGGGCAATGAGATTTGGTTTGTGCGCGTGACCCTTGGGCAGGAGAAGATTTCGTCCATCTTCCATTTTGTTTCTGCATCTTTGAAGGAAAGAAGAGATTTCACCCTCAAGGTGCTATCGAGCTCTTCAATAGCCTTCACCTTACCTTGTCATGCAGACTGTGCCGCCTGTCAAGTACCTCGAAAAATTCCTCGACAACAAGATTGCTGGTGATGCCTCAACAAGATCTTTGTGGCAATGACATACTTGACGAAGACATGAATCTATTTCCCAACGGGATCGTTAATGTCCTATGCAAGGTTTGCATCGAGCAAAATTGACGTAGCAGGGCTTTCTGAATCGTGGTCTTTCCAGGAAGGAGCAAAACTGATCAGAGAAGGCATCCGAGACGACATTCCACTACAGATGCAAGGCTGACAGTCTCCCTCCCTCCCTCCCCTCCCCTCCCCTCCCTCCCCTC